CTGGAGGTCCCGGGGATTGAACCTGGGATCTTCTGCATGCCAAGCAGACGCTCTGCCTCTGAGCCACAGCCCCTCCCCAAGTGGTAATATTCCCATGATAAACCGATATCGAGCCGTTATTTCAGAAACTGAAAGTGTTCTGTACAAGGAATTGTTTGCAGCATTATTTGTCGACACTTTAGGATTGTCCATCGGGTTGATTGCTTTGTACAGTTTCTGGGATTTTTACACATACACAGGCACTATTTTGCAAATATGGGATTATTGCCACTTATGAGTGAAAGCAGGTTGGTTGTGTGGTTCACAAACATACACTGAAATAGTGAGATCCCTTGCAGGCATTCAGACGTCATATGGCTGCCAAAAGCCACCCACGGTTTTGCAGCTGTCTTGGTCCAGAGGCCTTTAATTGTTGACCAAGCTGGGTGGGAGCAGAAATGTAAGTTGCCATGGTCTGCTTCTGCTGTCATTGAGTAGACCTGTAAAGGTAGGACTATCCAGTGGTCTTATGTGTGGCAATGGCGGGCAGCACTTGTCTGCGGCAGAGTACCACTGTGAGGGCATAATTTGCAGAGGGAGATATGGCGGACAGTAGGAGACCCCTTAAACTTTTCAGCTTCTCTCTGCTGCATCTGCATTTTTTCTGAATTAAGTGGATTAGGCTGTGTTACATACCTTGGCGTGTGCTGTATAATTAGTCCCTTGGCTAACTTCACCCACAGCTTCTTAGCTCCCCACTGGGCGATTTTGGCCATTCTGAAGAAGTCAAAAGAAGGGTGTCTGGTGGAATAGGTAGCCCTTGGCATGTGTGTCGATCAGCGGCATACACAAAGACTGTTTCGCTCAGTTTGTCGGGCTGGCTTTCTGCCCAAGACCTTGGAGTGCAGTGCCGCTGATGCCAGCGGGCTGGAAAGGGGTATGTCTTATGCCTATCTCTGCTTCCTATACCTGTGCAGCTGCCTGCTGGGTCTGAGGTGAACCCGAGATGCTGAAAGAGCTGAGAAAAAAGTGCACATTTACCATAGAGTCCAGCAGTTCCTAGAGCAACATGATAGCACTTCTGGGTTTCACCGGAAGTAACGTCATGACGTGTGCAACAGCGCCCCTAGTGTTCCCACCCCCCAAGTTCTCTCACAGCCTGGCAACCCAAGTCCTAGCTCTGACGTTTTCTCCAGGGGCCCCGTTTCCACTCATTTCTGCAATGCGCAGACTTGAGCCAGAGTTCTTCCAGAATCTGAGACGCTTAAGCTTAAGCTTCGGTAGCTTGATTCTTTGCCCTGAATCTTTTTCTTCCTTCTCATTGTGGTAACTTAATATTCAGAGCCTTATTGTTCTCAGTTCTTCTCCACCTCAATGAACCTAGATTTTTGTCTATAGCTAATGACAGGGATGTATGTGTTTTTAATTAAAAATGAGAGTGGAGCATTCAAGTTTAATTTACTATCTCTCCCCCCCCCCAGACATACACAAGCTTTCTGTCTAAATATTTCATTTTTTCAAGACTCCCCCTGCACACTCACATTTTCATAGCTCTCTTGTTTATCTGCCTCCCTTTTCTTATTAATTGAATCCCTAACATAAGCATGTGCCCCTCACCTGTCCACGTCAAGCTCTAATATCCTGTGGGGAGTACTTGGAGTGTGCATTTGGATCTACCCGAGCCGAAAACATAGCTGAAAAATACCTTGTCAGTATTTTCGGGGTATATTTCAGCTTCCCAAATGTATCTGGGTTTTCTCGGGAAAACTGGGAAAAAATCCAAAGAAAATCCCAAATATATTTGGGGATTTCGGGTAGATCTGAAAACAGTGGAGAGGCCAGAACAGATTGCTTCTGCAGGCAGGCTTGTGCAGGCAGGCTTATGCTGATAGCTTCCTGCAGGCACAGATCTGTGCTGCCTTCTCCTGCCACCCAGTTCAAAGTGGGAGGAAGTAGAGGACAGCCCAGCCAGGATTGGCTGTCCCCACGTGGAGCTGATCATTCCCCACCGGCACAGTTCTGCGCTGCCTTCTCCTGAAGCTCGGTTGGTTCTGGGATTTTTTTGGAAATCCTGAAATTTTTTCAGGTCCATTAGACCCAAACACAAAAATGCCAGTAAAAAAAATTGCAGACCCCTAGACAGTACTGAAACACAACACTGTGTGAATTATGTTAGATCCACACACTGCTTTGGTGTTACAGTGTTCCTAAGTCTAACATAAAATCTATGAAAACGTAAGTTTGAAGCATAGGAAGGATCAATCGTTTTCCTTTGAATTGATCTTTGGGACACCGGTGTAAACAAGCAGTTCATAATTTTGATTGCATTTCTGTCTGCATACCTGGTGGAGTTGTAATTATGTTCTCCAGTAAGTTAAAGGTGGGGGAACAATGCTCTTATTAGTAAGTCTTCAGTTTTCATAAACATTTCGGAAGATTCTGGCTTGTGCTCTGCCACTGAGCTCCAAAGACTCATGGGCACTTTCACCTTTGGAAGAGGGGTGGTGATTTTTACATATTTGCCCCTGGTGCTGTTTAGGGTCTCCCCCAGTCCCAGGGCTGGCTCGAGGTGTTTCTGCGCCATAGGTGAGCTCAGATGCCAACCTCCTGGTGGGGCCTGGAGACCTCCCATGGGCGCTGCTGCTCTCCGGCTCCCCTTGGCGGCTTCTGCATCCTGCGGGTGAGCCTCCCCCCCGAGCCAATCGAGCCGAGGCTTCCTGGCACAGGGCAGCCGTTAGCGGCTCCTGCTGCTGCAGCGCGCCCGGCAGAGGCATTCCAAGACCCGGCTGGTCCGGAACAGCTGCAGAGTGATGCGGCGGATGGCGAGCCTCGGCTGCCTCCCATCAACGGCTGGGCCCGGCCGAAAGCAGCAGCGCTGGGCGCAGGGAGAGGGTTCTCTGGTGGGCCCCCAGGAGGGAGCGGAGCAGCGAGAGAGTGGCCAGCGAGTCCAGGGGAGAAGGCCAAAGCCAGGAAGGAGAGGGCTGGAAACTCTCCCCCCAGCGGCCCTGCAGATCTCTGGGGCCAGCAGGGGCTCCCGTCCCGGTGGGGAAAGGATGCTGTGGAGTCGGGAAGAGGAGGCCAAGCCGATTGGCCAGAGAAGGAGGTGGTGGAGGGGACTCCGGCGAGCGGCTCCCCAGGCAGAGCCTGGACAGAGGGTGTGGAGGACGAAGGGGGGAGGTGCAGTTCAGCGCCCCATCCAGGGGGTGGGGGACGCGGGGCTGGCTGGGGACGCGGCTGCTTCAGCAGGGGAGAGGCGAACTTCAGTGGCACGCTTAGGCGGCGCGTGGGGTTTTTTTTGGGGGGAGGTGAACTTTGGCGCCCCATCCAGGGCCTGCCGCCCACCCCATCCAGGGCCCGGCGCTCTAGGTGAATGCCTAGTTCGCTTAGCGGGTGAGCCGGCCCTGCCCAGCCACACACACGCACCCCCCCCCCCAGTAATGAAGTTTCTGGGGCTCACTGGGCCATAGTGATAGGGGACAGTGGGAAAGTCTTGCCATTAAAGAGATCTTATTGGACACAGGTCTTGGTTTTTTCAAACACAAATAAGGCCAACTTGGCTATCAACCTGCAGTCCTGGGATACTTCCTTGTTGTGATTAAATTCATGGAATCTTCATATGAGTCCCTATCCATGTGAGTGACTGCATGCTCACAAACCTCCTCCCTATATGGATCCAGTCCTGAAAATTTGTTTAGAATTTAACAATCCTGATCCATATTGGAGGCCCTGTGTGGCTGCTGTTGCTCCAAAAGCACATCTGTTCACAGGTCTCATAGTATAATGTGTGGTTTGGTCTTCAGACTATAACTTCCAGGATATTTCAGGGAAAGCTCTAAGAGTGACCGGCAGAAAACGAATACAAGTTTTATGTGGCAAGGCTTGGTCACGAATGCACTGGGTGAGCTGGTGAGTCCTGCTATTCACAGTATGCGCCTTGTAAGTGACGTACTTTGCAGGAATGAAATAAGGTATGTCAGCACTTGAAATGTGATGTGTAAACGCTGCTTGTCTCTGACCTGGATGGCCCAGGCTAGGCCTGGTTAGTACTTAGAAGGGCGCTTATAAAGGAAGTCCGTAGTTGCTATGCAGGGGCAGGCAGTGGCAAATCACCACTGTTCATCTCTTGCCTTGGAAACCCTGTAGGGTCGACCGCACCTTGTCAGCACCTTTCACCACCAAGTCCTGCTTCATGACAGGAATTAGATTGTTTTCATTCTGGAAACCCCCATTCCCCGAGATGTACAGGAATATACTTGTAGCATCCTTGATGGGTGCAGGACCGTAGCCAGGATTTTGCGGCTTGTGGGGCAAAATTTTTTCTGGTGGGGCTGCCATTATTTGCCATAATGAAGGGAGTGGCACGTGCCCCTCTCCCTCCCCTCCTGCAAGATTTAAAGGGCCCTTCAGCTGATCAGCGGGAAGCACGTGGTCCGCCAATCAGCTGGAGGGCCCTTTAAATCTTGTAGGAGGGGAGGAAACGGGGTGCGCGCCACCCCCTGCTTCTTCCTTTAAATGCTTTTGGGAAGAAGCGGGGTCCCTTTAAGGAAAGGGCAGCGCCCCCAATAGCCCCACCATGGCTATGGGCCAGGATGGGTATAGGTTCCAGTGTGTTCGCTTGTTAAAAAACAAAGAAACTCGAAGGAGCTTGTAATCCTGACTGTGAAGTTGGTTCTTCTCTGCGTCCATTTATAATTTTCTTTTGTTGTCTTTGCCAGCTTCTGTTGTTCGGTTATCTTCAGTGCTTTCAATCTCCTATCCCCCCCCCCCCTACAATGAATTCCAACTACTCCATCTACTGAATTGTTTTCACTGACGAATAGAATGTATTTTTCATCCGGCGTTTGTCCCTATTTAAGGAAATTCATATTTCTCAGGAAGATGTCGCATCCCTATTTCCAAACTATTTTGCTTTTTATGATGCTGTGTTGTTGTCTCATCAGTTTATTACCACCTGCCTTTGGTGGGGGTGGGGTGTTGAATAGAGAACTGACGTTATCTCTTTTTTTCTCCCTCTGCAAAAGGGAATTCGCTTTGACCCAGAAATCCCTCAGACGCTCCGGCTAGAGTTCGCTAAGGCCAACACGAAGATGGCTAAGAGTAAATTAGTGGGAACGCCAAATCCAAGCACTCCAGCCGCCCCCAACACTGTACCTCAGTTCATTACCAGAGACCCATGTAAGTGTGTGTGGATTTACATTGTAAATAAGCATAAGTATGTGCCTCCCAAGAATCGAGTCTTCAGTAAACAGAAGGACACTTGTGCATAGTTTTTTCCAACATCGGTAGTTTCAGCACTCCAGTTTTATACTGTTTTGCACTGCTACTTCAGATAGGGAATCTACTATTGAGGGAGTCCTCAAACGTTTGAGCCTGTTGGCACCTTTGGAATTCTGATGCAGAGTGGGTATGCACAACTACAAAATGGCTGCCGCAGGAGGTGGAGCCAAACACAAAATGGACGATGCAGGAGGTGGAGCCACACATACACACGGAGGAAGCCCAAGTGCTGGGTACAAGAAGGCTAATATTTTTAAATATGTATACTGGGAAAGAGGAGTGAGAAAGAGAGTAAAACCAATACTGTGGTGGCAGCTGCCACCCAAACAGCATGGATTTAACCTGCGCACTCAATCATACCTCTCATGGCCAGTCAGAAGCCTTGCTAGGCAGGATCCCTACCTGACCCCACCCACTTTCTAAAAATACTTGATGTTAGCAGTACCATGGACTTGTTGCTGTCCTTCTCTGCTTTGTTACCTGGCTCAAAAGAACAGCAATGGTTATTCCATAGTCTCTTGCAATACAGAGGAACCAGCATGACAACAGTAGCTCATTCTTCTTAAGAATCATCATATTCTTTCTTTAAAACGTCCCGCAGAAAACCAGCTGTGAACGTCCACTGAATCTTCCAGCAAAAGAGCGATCACCAAACTCCTAGTGGTCAGTTGCAGATTCTACTGTAGGCGCTGTAGATCCAGCAGTAAAACAACAATAAATTTGCCAGGGCATCCTTGGCTTAGATTAATGCTGAGCTAAGAAAGCAGACATAGCATTTTGTTTTTCTTTCCTGGGCAAGGTTGGAGGGGTAAATGGGTTGGCTGACAAACAGAAACATTGTCAATTATACCAGAACTTCCAGAAACTATAGATGCTATCTGTGTCTCCCCCTTCTTCTAGAATGACTGTTTTAGTTATCATTTAGAAATGAAGCAAGTACGTATTTGTCTTCTGGAGTACCATCTTTAATTATCCTGTTGAAGCAAATACGATTAATTGACTGAAGCCTCTTGAATTGCATGACACCACCACACTAACAGTGCCATTTTAAGCAGGTCTGCTCATAATCCTAATCAGGCCTCTTCATCTAGGGCTTATTCCCAGGAGAGTGCTCTTAGACAACTGCATGGTTAGTGCTGTTCAGCAGAAGATAGCCGTTGCTGAATATCTATTGCATGGGAGCCAGTTTAGTGTAGTGGTTAAGAGCGCCGGACTCTAATCTGGAGAACTCCGCGTGCAGCCCAGCTGGGTGACCTTGGGTCAGTCCCAGTCCTCTTGGAGCGGTTCTGTCAAGAGCAGTTCTCTCAGAACTCCCAAGCCCCACCTGCCTCACAGGGTGTCTATTGTGGGGAGAGGAAGGGAAGGAGATTGTAAGCTGCTCTAAGACGACGACTACTACTACTTCTCCTCCTCCTCCCCCCCCCTCCAGGATCAATCTAAAGTTGTAGAGCACACCTTAATATTGGGTCACATCCTTCCTTGTGCAGAAGTGCTTCCTGCTCCCTGAGTTGCCAGCACAAGTCTTTCTCCTCCTCTCCTTGAGAGGAGAATGAGGTGTGTGTGCAACAACGAATGGCGCCCCTCCCTCGTTTTGCTTTTCCTTACCACCATTTTGGGTTGGGTTGGGATGAGTGGGAGGTGAGCAGCTGATAGGATGGATTTGCGAGGAGACCGAGAAGGCCTTCCCCACAGGGTCCTTGTCTGTAGAAGAGCACGTGGAGCCGCCGCTGAGCCACAGCCACACTTAGAAACCATTCTCCCGTCTCCAGTGGTTTCTCAGTGCAGTCCTCCAGCAAATTAGTTGCCACCCAAGAGTCTGCGGCTCCAGGCTGGATGGCCTTTTAAGCTCTGACGAGGGAAAGGCACCGTCTCTTACTAGACGGTTCGAAAGCAGGTTAGCTTGAGGAAATGGGAAGCTGTATAAATGTTTGAAATGGCAGGAAATATTAATTATTGAAACGGCAGGCTGTGTGACAAGTGAAAGATTTTGAGGCCAGAAAGATAGGTGGTGTTGCGTTCGTGGCGTGTGCTACCTTGTTTGTAGGGCATAGATCTAACCCACCAGTTCCTCCAGAAATTTGAAACGAAACGTTGTTTATAACATTTAGCTTAGCGTGACCTGAGACACGTGGGCCCTGTTCAAATGACAGTCACTAGGACATGAGGCTGGCCTTGTACTGAGTCAGACCCTATTGGTCTACTCTCTTTTTCTTGTGAATATTGTGTGTGCGTGTGCGTGCGCGCACACCTGAAAGTCATAGTTGACTTCTGGCATCCCCTAGTGGGGCTTGGACATTTCAGAGCGATGGCGTGCTATTGCCTGCCTCTGCATCTCAGCCCTGGTATTTCTTAAAGGTCTCCCTTCCAAGTACTTGCCAGCATCAACTCTGCTTAGCTTCTGAGATCTGATGAAACTGGGCCGGCCTGCCTGCCTATTGGTCTACTCTTGACGGGCAACAGCTCTCCAGGTATTTTACATCACCTCCCACCTGATCGTTTTTTAACTGGCAATACCTAGGAGTGCCCCCTCTAAGCTGTGGAGTCCTGTGAGCAAAAATTCTACTTAGTGAGCTCCTGGCATTAAAGTTGTGAGCAAGCGATTTGGCTCCTGCATAATTTTGTTATCTCTGGAGCCCTCCTTCCGGAGCTGAGACAAAAATGTGTGAGCCGGAGGCTAAAAAACTGTGAGCCAGCTCACACCAACTCAGCTTAGAGGGAACACTGCCTAGGACTCACATACACACTGGGAACCTCTATGAGTGCTGAGGTCAAGATTGAGGTCTCAGAGTCGTGCGACTGTTTCCCCTGTGTCCCTCATCATGTGTGGAACCTAGTGAGAAATACGTGTGAGTTCAAGTCATGTTCCTGGTCTCACCACTGTGGCAGGCTTCCAGTGTATCATTTAAACAACCACAGATCCAGTGGCTGTGTGAAGACACTCTTGACTTCAGTTTTCCTCTGAAGCATGAACGTGTCTTCTCTTATCCCAGTTTTACCCAAAGGAAGAGGACGTTTATTGGACAGTATTATCTCTGTCGGAGTATAGTCTCGGCCTTTTGGCTAAGATCAAGTGTAGTTAATTGTTGTGCTTCCCTTGTGAAATGTGATAGCTCTATGTTCACAAATGGTAAATACGTGCTGATGAGGTGTTAGAAAATTGTGCATTCACACTCCTCGTATCTGTTGCTGAACGTAACCCTGCTGTTGCCTCCATGTTCTACTTGCTGATCTCAAACAGATTCATGCAGCTGTCGGCCTGAACGATTTCATTGTCACAAAGAGAACCAATGTGTTGTGGTGGTCAGAGTGTTGGACTAGGATCTTGGAGACCCAGATTCGAATCCCCACTCTGCCATGGAAGTTTGCTGAGTGACCTTGAGCTGATCGCACGCTCTCAGCCTAACCTTCCTCACAGTGTTGTTGTAAGTAAAATGGAGGAGACAGTGTTGGGAGCTACTTTGGCTACCCACTGGGGAAACAAGAGCTATATAAATGCTATAAATAAATAAAGACTGAAGGTCACTTGAACCTAACTTATTTCGTAGAATCATAAGAGTAGGAAGGGACATCCAGGGTCATCTAGTCCAACTCCCTGCACAATGCAGGAAATTCACAAATACCTCCCCCTCAGGGCTATTTTTGGGCAGGAACGCACAGGAGCGGAGTTCCGGATGGCTCCCGAGTTGGCCACGCCCAGCAGGAACTCATTAGCATAACAGGCCACACCCAACAGCAGGAACTCATTAGGATTGGCTACATTAGGGGTGTGTGGCCTAACATGCAAAGGAGTTCCTGCTACAAAAAAAGCCCTGGGTTTTGACCACAAACAAGGTAAACAGAATAAGAAGCAAAAGGTGGGTGTGGCTGGATGACCACACTTCTGGTAACATGGGGGTGCGGCCTGATGTGCTAATGAGCAGTGCTGTCAGGGGTGTGGCCTAATATGCTAATGAGTTTCTGCTGTTGGATGTGGCCTATTATGCTAATGAGTTCCTGCTGGGCTTTTTCTACAAAAAGAGCCCTGCTCCCCCTCCACATCCCCAGTGACCGTTGCTCCGCTCCCAGAAGATGACAAAAAACCTCCAGGATCTCCAGCCAAACTGGCCTGGAGAACAATTGCTTCCTGACCCCAAAGTGGTGATCAGCATTTCCCTGGGCATGTAAGAAAGGGCCGCAAGACCAAAGCACTGAGGCATCCCTTCCTGCCCTCCCTCTCATGATCTGTCTAAGTTTACAGAACCAGCATGGCTGACAGATGGCCATCTAGCCTCTGTTTGAAAACCTCCAAAGAAGGAGAGCCCACCGCCTCTTGAGGAAGCCTGTTCCACTGAGGAACCTCTCAAACTGTCGGGAGGTTTGCCAGAATCACCTGTGAAAAATGAGGTTCTGACAACTGTTTGCTGCCTGCACCCCTTTTGAGGATGAATTGGAACGTTTGTACTAAATTGGAACCCACAGATCCACATCTTGTGTGTGGAGAGCATCAGAGGAAAGCACCTCTGCTAACAGAATAGATCTGCAGGACCCAGGCCATGATCTCCGTGAATGGTGGAGGAAGACGAAGTAGCCACCAACCCCTTTAAAGGGAGATTAGACAGATTTTGTGAAGGATAGCTTTATCAGGGCCACCAGCCATGGGAACTAAAGGGAACCTCCACTTTCAGATGCAATAAACCTCTGAAAACCAGTGCCATGAGGCAACATCAGGGGAAGGCCTCGGGCTCTATGCCCTGTTGTTGGCACACCATAGTAACTGGTTGGCTTGCTGTGTGAGACAGGATACTGGACTAGATGGATGACTGGTCTGATCTAGCAAGGCTCTTCTTATTTTCTTATGGTTTAACAATCTGTTGTGATGGTGCCATAAGATTGATTATTATGTTCTGAGAGGTTTGTCA